TGCAATAAGATGATTTGATAAAGCTTCTTGATGTAGAGCCACTATCCTTGCTCGGTCCAACTGAGAGATTTGATTTCCTGGCATTTTTCTCAAAATTTAAATAAAACTGCACTACCCGTATTTGCTTTTAAACTGTCTTAATTTAGAAACATCTGCATATTTTCTGAACAGGGCGGTTTTTTGCAATGATAATGTATTTCACAAAAAAAATTATCTCCTTACTTTAAACAATTTGAAAGATAATAATGGGGGCCAAGACTTTTGACGAGGTGTGTAGTTATACAGGGTGTCCACTTAGTGCGATATCGGACGATATCTTCTTACAGGGTGATGCAAGAAAAAAAAAAAAAATCAAAGTTGTTTGATTTTCTAAGGTGCATTACTCAAATATATTCTTAAATATACAGGGTGCTCTGTAAATGGGGTATGCGACAGAAATTTGTTATTTTTAAATGGAACACACTATATTTTAGTACATTCTAACCTATACATACTTTTTGTTAGGAATCATCATACCAAAACTCAACCGTTTTTAAAATATTTAATATTTTTTCAAAAAATCGCAGCTTGCATGTGTCAACAAAAACTTGCCATATTAAATACCCCCTCGCTCCTCATAGTCCTCATACGTGAAGTGTCAGTTTAAAAACAACGGACTTTACTCTCATTTACTTCATGGTCCTATGAAAATCTGTTAACATTCTACAGGGTGTTAGCAATACTGTACACAAAACCAGACATTTCAAACAACCATTATAGCACTGTATAGTAGTAAGTACGCAAGATTGTTTGACAGAGGTAGGTTGCCTGATAACTCCATGACGTCATCTGAGGTGCTTCAACATAATGCAAATCTGCATAAGGCTCCCAAATGCGTCATTAAGTTACCTATTACCAGACAACCTATTAGGCCAAGGCACTTAGCGAAATAACAGCCATATTATTTTATCATAAAATTTAACAGCAAACTATCGATGCAATATTGTTAAGGATCATTTATAGATGCTAAAAACCAAAAATGCAACATCTAATTACTTTTAGGGGATTTTATAATAGTTATTTATGATATAAGTGTTAAAAGTACATTTTTAAGGCACGCATGTGAAAGTTTGCAGAATGAGCGAAGCGAATTCTGCAATTCACATAAGTGCTTTAAAAATACTTTTAACACAAATATCATACAACATTTTTTCTACAAACGGCAATAAAAAGCAATAACCACTAACAAATTGGATTTTTAAATGAATAATAAATTGGAAGCATCTTTCCTACATAAAATTCTTGAATTTGACATTTGTCAAAAAATCCATACAACCAGCACCTTGTTTTACAGGTAACGAAATGTCTTGTCAGTTTCTTGAAAGTATGTCGTGGTCAGGAATACTTTTTGCTAAAGTTGCATCGATCCTTCGAAAAATATAGATGAGGCGGCCAATCGGGCTACCTCAGTTGTTCAAATTTCACCATTATTAAAAATTGTAAATAACTGAAAATACAAACTTTTTTTGACGTCCGCTCTCAAAATTTGATGTTTCATTTTTAACACTAGTGCTATAAAGACTTTATGGCACTAGTGCGATAAAGTAACATTTTTAATGCTTCGGGGCGGTGTTAAAAATTGCATTTTTAACACGTTTGTAGAAAAACAATATTTAGTGCAAAAACAGGGCTTTTTTTTGTTTATTTCACTGTATTTCGAAAACTAAGGATCGGATGGTTTTGCTACTGTGGCAATAGTTTTAGCATTGAACAAGCTTTACAATGAGCCAGCATACAACCCTGTAGGTCTTTTAGTCTTCGAGAAATGATTTTTTTCCTCCAAAAAAAGAGATTTTCGTAAAAAATTCCTAACTTTTTTTCATGCTAGATAATTAATTTTTCACACATACATAGTAGATGAGGCAGGCTTTATTGAGCCCAAATTTGGGCCCGGTCCGATGGGTCGTTTCGGCATAATACCCTTGTCATGCAAAATGGGGATGTTTCTAAAGCAGTCTGTCGAATTGAGGATAATTTTTTTATATTTATTTTGAAAAGTCCACTGATAAGTCGAAATGCCAAACTATCGATCCTCTATCTCTGATTTTCCATTTAATTTTTTTATCGCAAGTAAAACGGCTTCGAACATGACTGAAAATGGAAAATTAAAAAAAATTTAAAGGTTGTTCAATGCTCTGAAACTATTGCCATAGTAGCAAAACCATCCGATCATTAGTTTTCGAAATACAGTGAAATAAACAAAAAAAAGCCCTATTTTTGCACTAAATATTGTTTATAAAATCCCCTAATAGTTATTTTCCTAACAAGTGCGCAAAGTGATACTTTCCCGCACGAAAAAGCAGTTAGACGAACGACGCGAAGCGGAGTTCGGATAAGCTTTGAGTGCGGGAAAGACACTTTGCGCAAGTGTTAGGAACAATATTTTTTCTACGAATATCTTAAAAAAGTAGACTTTGAATTATTACAATATTAGAAAAATCGTTATTCCGAAAGATCGAGTAGAAGATGTATTAAAAGAAATACATGACGGAACTTCAGGGGCATATTTTGGAGTTAACAAGACAAGACAAAATTCGGGAACGTTTTTACTGGGTTCACTATCATAAAGACGTTAAAAACTGGTGCGGAAAATGCGACATTTCTACTATCAGTCAAGGCCCTAAACTAAGATCTCGGGGGCCCATGAAACAGTACAACGTCACTCTCCCATCTGAAAGAATAGCGATAGATGTAGCCGGACCGTTCCCTGAGTTAGGGCGTGGTAACAAATACATCTTGGTTATCATGGATTACTTCAGTAAATGGCCAGAAATTTTCGCTATTCCCGATCAAGAAGCCATCAACTTTGCCCAGGTGCTAGTGGGAAGTTTTCAGTCGTTATGGTGTGCCACTAGAGTTGTTTTCAGATCAGGGACGAAACTGCCATCTTTAACAAAATTTGTGAGATCATGGGTATTCGTAAGACAAGGACAACACCTTTACATCTACAGTCTGATGGCATGGTAGAACGATTTAATACCTCTATTTTTAATGGCTTTGGAAGGGAACTAAGGTTACCTTGCGATCTGATGTTTGGAATACTTGAAGAAGAACGAAAAGAAATTCGAGATGATGTCGATGAAGTAAGTGCATGACTTCTGGAAATACACGATTTAGCTCGGGAGTATATTCAGCTGGCCAGTGACCGAATGAAGACCAGATACGATTTGAAAGCCAAATCAGCCGGATTTCATGAAGGTGATTTAGTGTGGCTGGATAATGCAGCATAAAAGAAAGGAGTGTCGCCGAAATTGTCTTCAGCGTGAGCAGGACCGTACAGAATAATCAAAAAAATAAATGATTTGATTTATCTAGTTCAGCGCAACACTAGGTGTAAGATGAAAGTTGTACATCTAGAAGATAGATTAATGAAATATCATGGTCGTGAACTTGATCGGGATTATCAATCTTAAGAGGAGGGCAGTGTAAGAAGATACAGAATTGGATGGCAGAATTCTAGATTTTTACAGTGGAAAAAAGGTCTATCGCGTTTAATTTGGATTTTGCAAGAATAGATTACGGATATATAAAGGCCGATATTAGCTAGTTTTTTTTTTTAAGTTTAAGATTGGCTGTGATGAGTTTTAGATAGTGATTATTGTAAAAGTTGTGAAGCTTGTAAAGAGTTAAGTTGTTTGAGTTAATTAGTGTCAGAGTGTACAGGGTGGCCCATTTAAGAGGGGCCTATACCTTATCTCGAAATCTACAAGGGGTGTAAAAAAAATTTAAATACAAAAGTTGTTTCTAATAAAATTATCTACAACTTTTTTGTATTTTTTTTGGTGTCACTCTACTATATACAGGGTGGACAAATGAAATTTAATTTTTTTAAATGGAACACCCTATATTTTAATAAATTTTTAAATAGCTTTTTGAAAAACAAATTCAACGGTATACTGGTCATGTTTCTGTGCTATACCGTTTCGAACTTATTAGCGACTATCTTCAGGATTTGGCGTAATTTTCAACAGTCATTGTTACGTTACTCATAAACTTTTTAAACTTTTTTTTGCATGATATTTTCTATAAAATCATGCTCTTCTTCAGATTATAGTCAAATTTGGAATATTTGTTTAAGAAACGTGGTGTTGCCACGTTTTTCAGGCCGAAACGGTGCATCACAGACCCATTTCTAGTATATCGTTGAATTTGTCTTCTAGAGGGCTATCCAAAAACTAGGAGGTACCATTTGAAAGAATTGTTGAAAAATTTAACATTTTGCAAAACGTGGCAACGCCGCGTTTTTTAAACAAATATTTCAAATTTGACTATAGTCTAAAGAAGAGCATTATTTTATAGAAAATAATACCTATGCAAAAAAGAGTTTAAAAAGTTTATGAGTAACGTAACAATGACTGTTGAAAATGATTCCAAGTCCTGAAGATAATCGCTGATAAGTTCGAAACGGTATATCACAGACACATGAACAGTATATCGTTGAATTTGTCTTTCCAAGGGATATTTAAAAATGTATTAAAATATAGGGTGTTTCATTTAAAAAAATGAAATTTCATTTGTCCACCCTGTATATAGTAAAGTGACAACAAAAACAATACAAAAAAGTTGTAGATAATTTTATTAGAAACAACTTTTGTATTTACATTTTTTTCACAGCCCTTGTAGATTTCGAGATAAGGTATAAGCCCCTCTTAAACGGGCCACCCTGTACAGTAAAATGGAATACTTAAATTATTGTTGTCTTAAATGGACTTGGATTTTGGAATAAACGAACCCAAGATTTCTGTCACGTGTCGTGACAGTATGTATATGTTTAACACTTTTTGAGATGCAAGCTAGGAAACCTAATTTCTTGTTTGCCTACCAACCAAAATTAAACCGGAACATGATTGTTCCAATGTTTATCAACATTTATTGGATTCGTGAATTTTGAACTAATCTATTTTTAATTGAAACTTAACATCATAAGAAGAAACGTTATTATTAGTACAAAAAATTCTTACCACAAGTAGAGTCTGCTGTTTTTTCATTAGATTCAAAAAAAAACTCATTATTTGTTGGATAAGTGTAACTTTCGAAATTATCCAAAAGTTTTTCAACGTTTTCTGCAATTATATTGTAATCATCATATCCACAAATACCCGTGAAGATACTATTTACTATGAGAGTACATGATAGTAAATTTTCCAAACGCATCATTTTGATAGTGGAATCTATCTGAAAAAAAAAAAAATTGTTTAAAGATTTTCAACTAAAATTCATAAAGTTTTATCAAAATGAAAAATTAAGGATTGTGAATTATGATACTTTTTTCTTTCCTAACTTGTTGATATTTATGCAATGTTCTTGCCCTGTCGGTTCTCTAAAATTAATGTCACTATTACAATTTATTTTCTTAAATATTTGGAATCCATTTGCCCAGAATGACAGCATACTTTTAAAAAAATCGTCATAACATAACTTACCAATCTGATAGGAATGTAGTTCACACTTTAAAAAAATAATGAATGGAGTTTTACCTAAATAATATTGTAAAACTTTTCCAAGAATCAAGAAATAAAGTATGAGGTTGATAATTTTTTTTTTCCGTTTTTATAATAAAAATCGTTCATCAGGGGCAGGGCCGTATCTAATGTTCCCTAGAAAAACTTTGCAATTTGTATTGGACATTGGAAGCCACGCCAAAGTTCAAAAGTTAATCATTTTCGCTCTTTAAATGGAATTCGAACACAATTTATTGTAAAATAACTTCAAACAAAAACTTATTTGTAAAATATGCTTCTCAATTTTTATTATCTATAGAATAAAGATTCTGCCTGGTATATTCCATTTTGATTTTAGCAGAAAAATTAATTATACTTGGAAATGGATTCTAGTTGGGTATCTACATAGGCTTAATGCACGATATTTAGTTTTATCTAGAAAGCTACTCTCATTAAGATGTGTAGTATTTCTTGAAATGAAATGAATTGCTATTTCGTGAAATTTGAGCTCACATATTTTTTGGAAAATCAATTTTTTATCGGTGAATAAAGTAGATTGAAAACATATCTGCGCAGCATGGCACTTCTAATTCTATGCGAACCTTTTAAACATGTCTTTTCTCCCTGGCTACGGGCCTGTCTCTTGATATTACACGGTAGTTTTCATTAAATGTATTTATCATTAATGGATTTTTTCACAGGGTGATACAACCTTATTCATTGATGTTCAATTGACGTTTTTAGGCTTATTTCATTATTTATTTTTATATTTAATATTTTCTTTACTAATATAGTTGATCAACCTAATATAACTTCTATGTGAAGGCAAGTTACCAAAAATACCAAACTTTGATATTTTTAAGAAGAAATAGTTGAAATTTATCAATTTTGAAAGTACCCATTGAAGATGGGAATTGAGATTATCTGCTAAACTCGTAGAGGTTGATTTCACATTTCCGGGCCAAGTTTTTATGACGGGTCAAATCACAGATCTTATGTTAGTATTTCGTTCAAAGTGAAACTTGAAGTTTCCACTTTTTGAGAGTAGTCATTATTATCTCGCGTATGAAAAAAGATATCGAAAAGGTTAAAATTGTATCTGACGCAGTTTTATTTCGAGGTACCAGGAGATATGACACAAACTTCATCTTTTTTGAAGGGAACACCGAGTACATTTTAACATTTTTAGAATATATACACATAAAATTACATTTCCAATAATAATATGTATATAATTTGTCTATATTATTTCTTAATTTGCCAATATATGGTATTCAAAACTTTTCATAAGAACCCTTTGAAATCACATTGAAAACTTTTTTTTTATTGGCTGGTTCAATATTTAACAAACTCATAATTTTTTGATTTAAGACACCCAGTACATACAATAACAGTTTATTAAAACATATATTTTTTTCCCATTTCAACGATATAGATATTACACTTTATAGTTACACCTCTAATTTAAGTGCTTTAACGTCAAGAAAAAATCGCTTCTGATTGCAAGGAAAATTGATGTCATTTCGGATTAACCGGTCCAGCAAATATCATAATAGTATATTATGCAATGATCATGTAATGATAGCCATTAATACACGAGCATGTTGTAGGATACGAAACGAGCCGTAGGCGAGTTTCGTATATAACATGCGAGTGTATTAATGGCCATTACATGAGAGTTGCATACACTATTTTTTCTACTGCCATTGATAAACATGATATTTAGATATGTCAACATTATGCTTAACTTTGAATAGAGATTTCATAATTGAGTAATCCATACAGTTGAAGGTTTCATTTTTTGTTGTAATTCTTCAAAATATACTATCAAAACATTTTCTGAGAAGGATGATGTGTTTTTGGTGTTTCCAATCCATAAATTGTCCATATAATTTTTCGTAAATTTTCTTGGACTTGTCCGGTAGTATATTATTACCTGCATTTGTCGCCCTTTCTGTAATTTCTGGAGGTGTTAGTGAAAATTCTTCGTTATCGCTCAATATTTCCATAATAATGCCTTCTCCCAAACTTAAGGTATTAACTTTTAATAACAATTTGAAGTATTTTTTTTATAAAATTATTGTTTTTCGCTAAATTACCATGGAAAAGCTATAAACAGTGCTGCCAACATTCAAAAAAAAAAAAAAAATCAAAATTTTTTAACTGGTGGCGCCATCTATTGACAATGCATAATAATGAAGAAAGTAAAAATTCTTCCTTATCATTCATGATTTCCATAATAATTATTCTTTGTCCCAAACTTAAGGTAACTTTTAAACAATTCGGAGTCTTTTTTATAGTTATCAAAATAATTGTTTTACGCAAAATCACCGTTTAAAATGTTTAATATCTGAACTAGTGCTGCCATCTATCAACATTGTATAATATTAAAAATGAGTATTATAATGAAAATCTGTATCGTAATGAAGTTCATTATGATACAGATTTTAATCGTTTAATAGCGTATTATGAAATGTCAGTAGAAAAAATAAATAATTTAATATCTATTACTACTAATGCTCGGTAGGTAACTAAATTTAATAGTCTATTAAATTGACAATATTATAATATTTGAATGAGTTAAATGTTAAATACCTACCCAGAAAGGCGCCTACCTTGATAGAAAGATATTTAAGAGTCCTTTGGATAATTTAGGCGAAAATAACCAATTTTGTAAATAGGCCAGGGCAGTTAGCAAAAATAGGAGAAGTTTTTGCAATCAAGCTGATTTTTTCACAGATGATAGTACCCATCAATAGTACTCTGTAAAAAAAAGTTACACCTCCTAGGAGGCTTGCTTTTTCCGCCATGATGAATTAAAGATGGCGGCTGGTGCTATTCTTGGAAAAAATCGTAACTTTCTTATTTATTAACCGATTTTCGTCAAGTAAAAAAAAAAATACCTTTGTTTTGGACTAAAGATTGAAATAAATAGTTATTTAAACAACAAGTTTTGAAAACGACTTTTTTCGCACGGCGAGACAGTTTGTTGGACCGAGCCGTAGGCGAGTTCCACAAGTCGAGCAAGTGTGAAAAAAGGTTTTCAAACGAGTTTTTTACAATGCTTTTCCTACAACTGCAAAATAAAACAACCAAATATGTAATTTCCATTTGTTAGAAAACTTGAAGCGTGTGAAAAACTTTTTCGCACGCTGAGGAGCGTGTGAAAAACTTTTTCGCACGCTGTGCGAAAAACTCTAATTTCAGAGGTTGCCTAGCGTGCGAAAAACTCCATTTTCAGAGGCAGTCGTAGGAAAAATATTAAACCATTTTGACAGATAGTATATCTGTCAAAAAAAAAATATATAGGAAAAAAAATTGAATTGGTTTTCTTCAACTTTCTTTGAAACGTAGCTGTAAACTTAGACCGAAGGTACTTCTTACCAGAAGAAGCCTAAAAATATGAGTTTTTTTTTTATAATTTTGAAACAGTTTTTGAGTTTGTGATAGGATAAGTAATTCGCGTGATATAGTCGAAAAGAACTTGAGAATCCAAAAAAAAAAAACTTATGTAGGATGTGTACACTCTATTTTTTGTATATACGCGCCTAAAAATAGCTATTTTTTTAACTCATTTCCGTCCGTAAATCTTCATTTTCGGCCTACACCGTAAAATGCTCCATTTTCGGCCTAATTCCTAAAAGTCGTCATAGCAACCTTGTCAGTTTGCATGTACCTGTCGCACCTGCATAATCAGTTTAAAATTTTTAATGTTGTCACATTCACTTCACATCCTTGAGCTATTACAAAAAAGTATTGTTTGTTTCACGTACTTAAAATATAGGGTTTCTAGATACCTACTTGTTACAAAAAATACATATCTTAGCTCGATTGACATAAAAACAGTTGCCTTTGGTTTTACTAGAATTTTTTTTTTCTACTGCCTTGTGTGAAGTACTAACTTTACGCACTGTTCAAACGTTGGATTAGATTTCACACACTATTGCGTAAAGTGTTTCACAACAACAAAAAAGTTTACTAAATTGTAGTTTCTTCGCAAAAATGCATAAATACCCACAAGTATAAAATTTTATATTATAAAAGCCTTTACTGCCCTTTTTCTGCATTAGAAATGAGATTTTACTTCACACTTTAGGTTGTGAACTAAGTTACTTTAGACACACTAGGGCGTAAAGTTGTAAAGTTTTTTTCAAATTTTTGGCACCGAGCGTTATGATCTACATATATCGCCCGCTTCGAATATTGTTGGTAGTAGAAAAAAAAATTACAGCAACAGGTGTGTAAAGCTTCTTTTTTTTCATACATTTGTGAAAAAAGGTTCACTTCAGACATCTGTTTATGTTTTATACCAAAAAAAATTCTAGTACCGACAATAATTAAGCCATACATTTGAAAAAATATACCTACCACAACTTTACGCCCTAGTGTCTAACTTAGTTCACAGGGTGTAAAGTAAAAGCACATTTTTAGTGCAGAAAAAGGGCAGCAAAGGCTTTTGTGATATAAAATTTCATACTTGTGCGTATTTATTATTTATGCATTTTTGCGAAAAAACTAATGCAATTTAGGGCGGGTATTATAAAACTATTTTAACAGAATAACTAAGAGTTAACTTCTCGAATGACGTTACTTCTCATGGTAATTTCAGAAGTTAACTTTCAGTTAGGTATCTGTCAAAATGGTTTTATAATAAACTTTTTTGCTGTTGTGAATTACTTTACGCAATAGTGCGTAAAATTTATTTTCACGTCTTTTGAACAGTGCGTAAACTAAGTACTTCACGCGCGGTAGTAGAATTTTTTTTTTTAACAAAAACCAAGGCAACTTTTTTTATGTCAATCGAGCTAAGATATGTATTTTTTGTAACTGAGTAGGTACCTAAAAAAACTATATTTTAGATACGTACCTAAAACAAACAATACTTTTTTGTAATAGCTCAAAGATGTGAAGTGAATGTGACAACTTTAAAAATTTTAAACTGATTATGCAGGTGCGACAGGTACATGCAAACTGACAAGGTTGCTATGACGACTTTTAGGAACTAGGCCGAAAATGGAGCATTTTACGGTGTAGGCTGAAAATTAAGATTTACGGACTGAAATGAGTTCAAAAAATAGCTATTTTTAGGCGCGTATATACAAAAAATAGAGTTTTCACATCCTGCATAAGTTTTTTTTTTTTTTTGGATTCTCAAGTTTTTTTCGAATATAT